TTTCTTTTATTTGCATTTTTTTTTTTTTTCCTTTTTTTTTTTTTTGTCTCCATAGTGCCCTTTTATTTTATTTTATACACTGTGGGAAAATTGTTTCGCAGATGAACAGTAATCTGCGGGTGGATAAAGTGGAGAAAATAGTAATTCGTAGGGAATAAAATGGGGAGGCAAAATGATTCACAAATAAATAGTGATTTATGGATTGACTCCTTTATATTAGTAGAGATTTATTCAACAAAATATTTACATTTGAAATCAGAAACTGCGGCTCGGAAAGGATAAGATTTCAACAACGTTGCTGACACAAATGAAAAGGACATTGTTTTTTGTCAAAAACGTCACTGAGTGATGCTCACACACGTCACTCTTTGGGATCAAACGGCCCCCATTTCCCCATCCTCCTATCCAATAAAAATCAACGATAAAATCGAAGCCCACAGTTTAGAGAATATTATAAAGAGAATATTATAATTGAGGATACAAAACTTTGAAACATATAGCAATTGAGTCCTCACTCAATTTACCTAAACTAAAAGGTTCTTATTCAATTATTTCTGATATATACGTTGCAAAACTTTCAATAGTTGTGCAAATCAGTCTTCATTAGATGGAATTCAAAGTCTATCATATTCAATATTTATTTGACACGTTATGTGAGTGACCTTTTACATAACAAGTATTGTCGTTTTCTTTAAAATAAATTGAAATAAAAGAGAGGAGAAGAAAATAGAATTCAAGACAATGAATAGAAAAAAAAATAAAGAGAACTCTTGAACCTTCAATACAAACCCATCAAATAAAAGGTTACGCAATTTTAATAGCAAAAGGGACGGATTCCATGAAATGTAAATCAACTTGATGGCTTTCTAAAGTTTGGAGAAGTACATGCCCCGAAAAAATTGAATACGAATGTTAATTCTATCAATAAAATTGAAGGACTCTATCTATTAAAAATTGACTAGCATAATTTAAAAAATTTATAGACGTACGGGTGACCAAGAGAGGTGGGAACTAGTGGTGTTGGCCTACGGAATTTGAGTTTCCATTTTTTTCTCTCTCATTTTGATGTAAAAAGTTAGTTAAAATTAAATTACTATTAAGTTTTGTCGAACAAATTATTTGTTTATTGTGTTCATATCGAAATGCAAAAGAAAAAAGATGAAGCCTTTAACAGCAAATTGCGATGAACATCTAATCCATACTTCACAAACTCAAGTATTTTTCTCTTATAAAAATATATAATAGTTTTGTTTGTGTTTATGTCACGTTCCATTGAAATCATTAAACAAAATTTTCCTTCCAAAGATATAAATTTTTAAGAAAAATGATGCAAGTATAGGAAGAAATGACAGAATTTTTCCAGATTTTTGAATTTCTCTCACGTGAGGAGACGGGGCCCACATGAATTAAATATTATTAAAAATAATGGGACCCACGTGTTGTGTATTTTCTGTACAATTTCTGTAAAAAATTTCCTGTACCCATAGAGTGATTCAATTTTTAAACATAAGTTTCAGAGAAAAGCTAACGATAGAGTAGTTTCTAAGATTTATGTATATGCAAGATTCTTGATCGAGCAATTGGTAGAAGAAAGTGAACCTTCTTCCCTTTTTTTTTGTGTCTCGAGAAGTCATTTGTGCTTTTAAATTTTTAATTTGATTTGGGTCCTCCAAGGGACTTATATGGCAGGAGCAATTAAATAAGAACCTAAATGCTGTATTTTGTAAAGTTTGGTGACGCGACTACAATTAAATAACAACTATCGCTCCACGACAAGGAAAGCAAAGAGCGAAACCCAAAAAGATCTAAAACTCTTGCAACTCGTCAGATGCAACTTGTCTTCTCTTACTTTATGCGCTAGACCACAACTCCACACACCCAAAACCCATAAATTAAAGCACAAATTTCGGCAACCTACTTTCTCTTTTAATCCTCACTCAACCTCAACAGGTAATCTTTTGTTATGTTAATCCATGCACGTGCTTAAATTTGGGCATGGGTAGTGGGTTGTGTGTTGATTGATGTCTTTGTGGATCTGGTGTTATGAGGCAAAAAAAGTGGAGATGAGATTGTGGGCAATGGATGAATCCAGATCGGCTGACGAATTAAATTGATTTATAGAATTCATTTGAATTTTAAGTTGTTTTTATTTATTTTGGTATCTTTTAGAGTTTTGATGCAGACAAGGTTTAAGGAGAGAACAAATTCAATGAGTGGAAGAGGGAAAAGGAGCTTGGAGGGTGGTGATAATGAAGATCAGCCGCCAGCTAGAAAAATTCCTGCTTTAGCTAGGTGAGAAAATTGGCGTTGTCTTTATTGATATCTTTGTGGGTTTCGATTTTGGTTGAATTTTTTCTTCCTTTCGAATTAAGTGGTATTAATTTAGGCAAACAGTGATGCATATTGAAATTACAATACGGGGATGACCCTTCTTAACTTATCTGGGGTTTAATTTCTGCATTGGGGTTTTTATGACTTTGTTTGAAGATCAACTCTTTGGCATGGAATTTTGTGGAAGTGGTATTTTGAAAATCACACAGTAAATTAATGGCCTATGTTTGTTCGTTTTTGTCTAATGGAAACCATGATGGGTTGAAATTTGGTCGTTTATATTCTAGTTCCATGTTGAATGGAGCGAAGGTCAAGCCTAGTTTTTTACTTAAAGTTGAAGCTCAAATATGCTAAACATAAATCAGAAGTGTTGAATCTGAAACTGCAAGTCTCTCTTTTGTTTTTACATCCTCAATCGTGAACCTCAAAGGTTGCATCTTATCTTAACGTTATAAATTCTTCTATTTGTTGAGAAAATGAAATCTCGTCTCGAAACTTCTCCTTACACTGGATCAAAGTTGGCAGAAAATTATGTGAAGTGGTGGTTTTTTCTATGGATTTTCGTGATCACAAATGTGATTGATGCATTTCGGCTTTTTTACAATTTATTAATGAAACCCAGAAAGCTTTTTAAGCTGTATTTTTAATTTAATGTTCATTCTTTGAACTCTATGATTAAAATACTAGTTCTTTCCCCTGCTTTTGAATGTAACGTGTTCTTGGGACATTTGACTGTTGTGGATTGTTAAACCCAAATCCACCAATTGGATACCAATCCCAAATTGTTTTGGATTTCGCATTTTGTTTAACAATGGAGATGAACTGTATAGAACTGGAACACAGTCCATTAAAATATTTGAATTAATAGAAAGGGAATTTTAATTGTTTCTTTTTCTCATAATGTTATAAAAACTGAACTGTTAGTTTATCGTGATTAACTGCAATATCTTGATTATTGTTTGATCACCAGATATTTACGGATCATTAAATTGGAAAATCACGCACTCTAAACATGTACTTTTATGGGAAATCTTTCCCTGCCTGTTCAGATATGCTCCTTTTGAGATTAATTCTTCATCTAATATGGTTTGAAATTCTTATTTGCATCTTTTATTTCCTCATAGTGGTGCCGAGAGAAGTAAAATATTGTGTTGTTTAAAAAATTAGTCTGTTACTTGCAGTGTTATTGTGGAAGCTCTAAAGATGGATCATCTCCAGAAGCTTTTCTCGTCCTTAGAGCCAATTCTCCGGAGAGTGGTAAAATAAGCACCCTCCAGTCACCTGATTATGCTGTGATAGTTGTGTTCTCCTTCTTCCATTATATTTGGTTTTTAGACTCTAGAACTTTACATGTCTTATATATCGATTTTATCTTGAACAGGTTAGTGAAGAAGTCGAACGTGCTTTGGCAAAGTTGGGGCCCGCCCGACTCACTGGAAGTGGAAGGTTTGACTTTTTTTTCATTACATAGGAAATGACTTTTTTTTTGGATAACCATGGATGTTCGGGTGAGTTTGCGCGCACCTCGACTAATTTCACGAGATCCTGAGGTTTACGGTCGGGTACTCACCTCAGTGGCCATGAGGGGACTCGAACGGATGACCATTGGGGAAATTGTTTTTTTTTTTTTATCATTTAATTTATGATTATGTTGAAGATCTGTACTTTTACATCTCCTTTGGTATTTAAGAAAAGAAACACTTCTAGTTGAATTGAAATGGTTATCACATTCTCAATGGTTGTTGCTTTGGTAAATTTAAGTTCTCAGTTGTGTTAGTGCGATGACTAGCTGAGTAGTTAAGTTCCTATCCTCGTATGCAAACTGTTATGAGCTTTAGGTTGTTGAGAATTGGAGTGAAGGAGAGCATGAGGGGAAGAAATGCTTTAATACTTAGAAAACCCTCACAGGAGTTAGAAAATTACAATATGCTAAGAATGTTTTAAAATCCTGTTTTACGATCAATCACAAAAGTATTTGCTGGGGTCCAGCAGGTATTAACCTTCACTTCCGTTAATGAAAGTGCAGGACTTGTGCTTTCCGTAGATATGGGTGGACAATTGGTGCCCCCTTAAAACCTTATGAATGTAGCCTTCCAAGAGCATGTCAATGCTTGATGTAAACTGTTCTCATTTATTTGACAATTATTAACTCTACAGGAAAAGAATGCATAGGTATGTGTTGATTTCAAGGACTTCTTTAGCTAGAAAAAGGAAGATGCAACTAAATAGTAAATCCTTGAAGCAATAAAAGCAGGAGTGCTCCATTTTGGAGTATGTTATTGGGGATTGGAATTGGTGTTGCAAAAGATTCTTGAAATTCGAATTGATTTTTTTTCAATTTGCAATTCCAGGAACTTGAGTTAATTTCATTCCTTCCTTTCTTAGATTCTACATATTCTGTTTTTGATAGTATATATGAAGTAAGTGGCGTTACATCATTATGGCAGTTTGACAGAGATTTAGGCTATTTTGAATACTGAGTCTCACTTGCTTTTCTCCATGCATGATTTATCTCTTGGATTAGTTCAAGTACTAAGAAGCTCATCGTCAAATATTTAACGGAATATTTTATCCTGATATTCTTCTCTCTTTCTTTCTTTGATGTCTTGATTGAACAATAAGCATGGCATAATTTTTGCTACACTTTTTTGCACATGCATCGCAAATCCTTATCATATTGCTTTGTCATTTTCTCTTATCATGGAACTCATTATTTTGAAACTTGATCGACATGGAAAATATGAATATCTTTTTTTTTTCCTTGTAACTATCTAATTTGGCCACTTCAGTGCAATTGTTTTCTTGGTCTGGTTGAGTGTTCTGTATTCTTTCACTCCTCCAAAGTTTTGAGCTGTCTGTCTCTAGAAGTTATTTATAGGAATTTGATATTTCAGGTCATCACCTAAACGAATTGAAGGGCCAGATGGGAGGAACTTGCAGCTTCGTTTTAAGTATAGAATTTCTCTTCCTCTCTTCACTGGGGGAAAGGTAGAGGGGGAGCAGGGTGCTGCAATCCACGTTGTATTAATTGATGCAAACACAGGCCATGTTGTAACATCTGGACCTGAATCTTCTGCGAAGCTTGATATTGTTGTACTAGAAGGCGATTTCAACGATGAAGATGATGAAAGCTGGACGCAAGAAGAGTTTGAGAGCCATGTTGTGAAAGAACGTGAGGGAAAGAGACCTCTTTTGACTGGGGATTTGCAAGTGACTCTCAAGGAAGGTGTTGGAACGCTAGGAGATCTCACATTTACAGATAATTCAAGTTGGATAAGGAGCAGGAAGTTCAGACTTGGTCTGAAGGTTGCATTAGAATATTGTGAGGGTATACGCATACGAGAAGCAAAGACGGAGGCTTTTACAGTTAAAGATCACAGAGGAGAATGTAGGCACATTCACTGTTTATTTTTATTATTTTCTTAGCTCACTGTCGTGAAATGTTTATTGAAAAGTGCCTTTTCTCCTGGTCAGTGTACAAGAAACATTATCCACCTGCTCTTAAAGATGAAGTATGGAGATTGGAAAAGATAGGAAAGGATGGGTCATTCCACAAGAGGCTTAATAATGCAGGAATATTTACGGTTGAGGACTTTCTTCGTCTTGTTGTCAGAGACTCTCAAAAACTAAGGAAGGTAAGTATCTTTCTTCAGTTGTAAAGTTAGTAAGTCCACGCTTTTCATAATTTGATTTGTATATATGGTGTTTGTAGATCCTCGGGAGTGGTATGTCAAATAAGATGTGGGATGTCCTCATAGATCACTCAAAGACTTGTGTCTTGAGTGGGAAGTTTTATATTTACTACTCTGATGATTCAAGAAATGTTGGTGCTGTTTTTAACAACATCTATGAGCTAAGTGGCCTGATTGCTAATGACCAATATTATCCAGCAGATTCACTTTCTGACAGCCAGAAGGTTTGTATAAGCTGATTTCTTTCTTGCAAAATTAGAACTTTTCATATATTCGTAGAAACAAGGTCATCTTTTCACTCTGAATCTGTTAATTGATGGCTGAACTTCGTCGTAAAGTAATAGCTGTTGCATCCTCATTTTTTTGCCGATGATTCAAACCGGAGGAAATGAAGGTACATCAAATATTTGTAAGCTATTTTCATTGTGACTGGTAGTGCATGCTTTTTTGAGTAGACAATCAGTGTAAAGTATTAGACACAATATGTTGTAAAACGTGGATTGGGTTTTTCGAAGTAATTTGTGATCCATGTAAGATACTGGTATGTGAACTCTTGGGTTAACTGATAAAGTTCTCAGAACTTTGTTTACTTTTTAAAAAATATGGTTTGGTCTTGAAAATCGCTAACTTGTAGAAGTTGCTTAAGTACAGTATATACCGTATAGAAAATATAATTTTCTTAACTTGGATTCTCGTGTTGAAACATATCTATTGTATTTGTTGTCATCATCTCCAAATATTCTTAGTTTGAATTGATTATTTCAATTACCC